GGGAAGCAGGAGGCACGTTACACACACGTGTGCACACACACACACACACACACACACACACACACACACAATCCCAGCACTCCTTCACCTTCAGGTCTCTGTGCACAATGTACTTCTGGTGGCAGTACTGAACGGCCGACACAATCTGCAGGGGAAACAGACCAAGCCGGGTCATTAGCACCCTCCTCTCTTACTGGTCCAGCTCAGGATTACAGCATTTTCCCCCATAAGACAGGGGACATCTTCAGGAAGTAGAATAAGCAGCCATCAAGTTACCCATCTTTAACCGCTGCGCCAACTGCTGGCTGAAACAGCACATGACACCCAGGCCCAGGGGAGGTCTCACCTGTCGGAACTTGGCTCTGGCCTCTTTCTCTTTCATCCTCCCGTGTGCGACGAGGTAATCGAAGACCTCACCTGCGGCGTCGAGGAAGGGCGAGAGCATACCATGAGAAAAGAGAAGGGGGGGGGGAGAAGAGTGACACACAGGCACAGCTAGGAGGGACGGCGTGCGGCCAGGGGCCTCGTCAGGGCCGTGTAACGCAGGGTGCAGGTGCCCGGCGACGCCCCCTTCGCCCACGCCTGAACCGCGAGGAGGTGACGTCATCCCCGGGGGACCAGTAAAAAAGGAGCGCTGGCCCGGCCAAGGAAGGGGATTTGGAGCGGGATTTCGACTGACCCACATGGATCTGCCAGGGCTGCCCATGTTCGGCTGCAGTCGTCAGTTTCCTTTCTGAGCCGGGATTTTACCACGGCAATCCGGCATATAGCCAGGGAGTAAAATTTGGTTTTGACTGACACCCCCCCCCACAACGATGGGGATAGGGTTGCCAGACACCCCCGTGACAGCCCGTATTTCTGCCTGTAACGATCTCAGCTGTTTGGCTCCCTTCGTTACGCAAGAGCGACAAGGCACTGTCCTATTATCACAGCCCCACCCACACTGGTTGAAGCCCCGCCCACCCTGGTTACAAGGCTCCGCCCCCAAACCCACACACTAACATCAGAATAAAAGCAGCACACACGGGCGAGCTGACCTGCGTAACGCTTGGGACAGGCTGGGAGGAGCGCATCCTGTGAGGTTGCTCAGTGAGTCAGGACAGCTTAAGTGGCGGTGATGTGAGGCTCTCGCATGCCTCTAGCTGTACGTCGTGACCAGTGCCCTCAGACCCCACAACCATTTACAGTTATACCCACGTTTAAAATCAGCGACCAAAATCCCTTGAACGGTTGACTAAGTCACATTTAGCTGCTATGTTACTCGAACCCTGAACCTCTGCATGACTTCAGTAGCCAAGTCCAAGGTGCTACCAGTTCTGTCATTCCCATGTGACTGAGCTCAACAAAAACGTCCTCAGGGCTCCTGATGTGTGTCAGTGAGCACAGCCGTGTCACATTAAAGTTGCAGTTCCCCCATTGTTCATTTTTATACAAGAGGATGAGCTGTACGGACATCCCAGGGCGCGGCAAATTCAGGTGACAAGCCCATTCATTCGCCATCTACCCGTTCATCACACACGCAGGACGTCAGATCCCAACACCTCGGGCATTCCCCTCACTCCCACTTCCTCTGCACGCACAGTCAAAGTCAGCATACCATCCTTCGACCCACAAATGACGCAGTGCTGGATGGCACCCCCTACAGCAGCGAGCCTTACACCTCTGAGGTTGTACATCAGCCTATAGCACTGAGGATCAGGGGATGTGTTATTAAGCAGGCGTGGACCGGCCGCGTACGTGCCGGAGCGCCCTACCCAGCAGAGACACAGGGCCGATTCAAACTATAAGTGAATACTGACCCCCAAAACCCAAAATCTGTGTGCGCTGGTATCTAAAGAAACCTGCAGAGCATCGAAGATGGAAATTCATGGATATATAGGGCGGATTTAGCCTCTCGGCACAGCTGGGGGGAGGGGGGGGCAGTGAGAGAAAAGGGAAGAACATCTCAGGAGTAAACATGGCTGGAGTAGGTCTAACTGTTACCATCAGCAGGAAGGCGGGGGGGTGGGGGGGGGGCAGCAGCTGGAGGCTTGTACTCCGGACATGGGGGAGGTCACAGAGTCAGAAAGGTTCCTTCAGAGCTCCGTAAATATCCGGCCGGGGGGAGGACACTGAATCGGACGAGGCTCTCACCTCCGCTGGCGTACTCCATTACGAGGTACAGCGTCTTCTCAGTCTCGATCACTTCAAACAACTTCACTGCAGAGAGGGAAGGACGATTTACAGAGTCACCGCCTGGCGATATTTATGGCACGGCGATGTCGTAAAGACATACGGCTGCCTGCCCGACTGACTTCCCTCTATTGTTTACACAAAGCAGCTCGTACAAACCGGCCCCACGATGCAGGTGTTCTTGGAAGTGCAAAGCCATAATTTCCCTGGTAACCCAACATTCAGGTTCCTCCTGTCTGCCTCACGAAGAGCCGGCGCTCAGTGGGAATGCGGGAATTACAAGCCGGGCCACACGGCGCTTTCCGACTCACCGATGTTGGGATGATTCAACAGCTTCATGATCCTGACTTCACGGAAGAGCTGCGGGATGGATGGACAGAGGGAGAGGAAAGGGTTCAATGAGGCAGGATTACTCAATAGCGCCCCCAGTCTTGAGCAGCGGTACTGCAGTCATGTGATTGCGCAGCATGTGTTTACTATGAGTGTCTACTTCACAAACACCGCACCCGGTTGTCTCTGCGGGCCAGACGTCAACAACGAGTTTTAATAGTTTTCTGATGTTTTTATGGTTTTGCGGGGGCGACGTTTATTAATTTCACCGAATTAAAAGACAATGGAAAGTCATTTTTCCTGACCACACCCATCTGACAGCACAGGAAGCCTAAGAGCCTAATTATGGGTTAATCACTTCTCACTCTTCCAACACAATAAAGTCTTCCTGCTTTACAAGACAGGTGGGTCAACAATTTTGTCACTCACCTTCTGTAGACTGGATGAGTTCATCTGAGTCTTGTCTATGATTTTCACAGCCACCTAAAGTCAAGGGGACACAGGGGTTCTTAAACCAGGTGACATTTATCATACAAAAGGCACCCGATTTGGGGGTTAATAAAAATAAATAAATTTAAAATTCAGACATGCACACCCAAAAATGGATTGCTGAAGTGAACATTGATCCAACATGACATCAACCCACAGAGAAACCACTGGCCAGTGTTATAAACCAGGGAGAGCAGTGATTAATAGCCAAACATGAGTGTATGATGAGTGACCTTACTTGGTTGATGATGTAACAGGAACCTGAACCATCAAATCTCAATTCACACATACAGTCGAACCCCTGCCCCGCCATCCACTCTTACATCATCTACCTGTTATTTCAACCTGAATCTTTAAACCACCCCCCCCCCCCTCCAGCCTTTACACACCCCCAGAACATCACATCAGACTGAGATGTGTTTTCAGTGTCACACAGTAACCTAGCCACAAACACTCATCACAATGTGGTCACGGTGTACTGAAGCACTTTATACTTTAATTACTAATTCAGACCATTTACATACCTGTCACCACATATTAGCAACAATATTTTCCAAACCAGGCGAACAAAGCAACCAGCAGCCCAATTAAATGCCAAAGTGACTGACACACATGGTTCAGAAGACTATTTCTGATTGGTTCGTGGGATCTAGTTACAAACCGGCTGGATAAAATGACTCAGAGGGCAGGGGTCACTGCCAGTCTATAGGTAAACAGCAGCTAAACGGCAACTGTGCTGATGAGACGTGTGCCAACAGCAGAAAGTTACATATCTGCTGAGACGGTAATAATCCGTTAGCAAAATACGATCCAGCCTCACACGGCCCTGTAACTTCACCCCCAAGGAGCCTGGCCTCACACCATAAACACGAGTCTAAACTTACGTTAGGGACGTAAAACGCGACCCCTTCCAAGCCAATTAGAAGACAGCCATGTCATCACAAACTACGAGTGCGATATCATCGCCATTTCCCACACGGCAGCCCGGCGACAGGGACATATCAAGGCCGGTTTAATCGCACGGGGTATGACCAGACCGTCATGCTGCCCACATTGGAAATGACAGGAGGACATTTCAAGGGGAAAAAAAAAAAAACACAAACAGCTGGACTTGAAATAACACGGATCAGGCAGAACTGTCTCTTGAGATGACTAAGAAATGAGCACACGTGGAACCATGAGGTCATAGGTTCGCATCCCAGTAGCAAGAAAGCTTCACTCGACACATAAATGTAAAAACAGTTACTTAATCAGAAAACCACAGCATATACAGTGCTGATGAGGGGGAAAGTGCAATTCGGAATTTCCTGGTGTCCAATCTCTATAGCTGGGCCTCACCTCCTTCCCAGTGAGCACATGCCGCGCCAGCTTGACCTTGGCGAAGTTGCCCTTGCCGATAGTCTTCAGCAGTCGGTACTGGCCGATGTGCGGCTGCTCGTCAGCGGCGACGATGGTGCCCCGGCTGAGTGGCATGCTGGGACGCCCCCCCACCTTGGACTCTGCGTGCGACTGCAAAGAGGTGATGGGAGAGAGGTCAACCTTCTAACAGTGGCGACTCCCATAGACAGACTCGAGAAAGCTAAGCATGAAATGAACTAAATAAAAGCAGGGAAGAAGAACCCAGTGCAGAATATGATCAGGTCAGGTTAGGTTAAAGATAAAGAGCCGCATGAGTATTTGAAGCGTTTTGACACACTGGGGAAGTGAGAATTCAGACAGAGACAAACATGCCACAAGGACCCATCGCGGTCAATCTAGAAGTAGTGACTTGAGCACGGCATTCCTCCACAGGGGTCAAAGGTTAGGAGATCGCATGTGGGATGGGTGGAATGACATCACCCACACACCCCATTTAAGCTGGGCTTTTACTCAGACAGAACTAATTGATTCAATCAACTAAAACTTATCAAATGGGACAGAAAGTGAAGACCTGCTTATTATTAAAAAAAAAAAAAATTCTTGAAAACAAGAAGAAAGTCAAATGACAGAGAGCTGCACACTTTCTTTTCACAGATCGCTGACGGTGGAAAGGAAAATCTCATTCCGCCTGTCTGTTATCACCGCGAAGTGAGACTGACTCACTCGTCGGCGACGGATCTTTCTTGGAAAGGCGGTGAGTGGGATTCGGACGCCTGTGCTCTCGCCCGCTTCGCCGGGGCGAGGACTAAAAGCAGAGCGGAGGAAACAGAACGTCCCGAAAGCGTGAACACGCAGCCAGAAATAAAAACGATGGGTGAAAGCGTTTAAACCATCAGCGAGACACGCGGCCGAAATCCGGAGCCCCATCAAGACCCAAACTCCCTTATGGACATGCGATCCCCGCAGCTTAAAGTTACACCAGCTCGACTGGAACCTGCCCATATTGATATTTTGTTTGAAGCAGATGTGTGGGTCTCTGACACATCAGAGACCATGGAAACCATAAAGGGTTCACACCGGAATAACGTATACGTTTCTCCAGAACCTGCAAAAAAAAATAAATAAATAAAAAACTTGCAAGCTGCACACAGCTCAGCCAAACAGCACCAACAGTATAAACAGACGACCCGGAACCACTGATCCGTGCAACTCGGCCCTACGTACTTAATCCACCCCACCCCCAAGCATTTTTGGAGCATTTTAAATACATAAAAAAGCAGTCTTTCCAGATGTTCCTGTGCCAAAAACTAACAAGGTGAGATCGGAAGGCAGCGTGACCTTTTACCAGCTAATAATCAGGTCACGTGTCATCTCCTCCTAAGTTTTGACACCGTCTTGGGCGTAAACAGCAGGCACGGATGCCGCCTAGGGCTTTTCCGGGGAAAATCGAGCACCCGACGTCAAAAAAGAAAGCCGAGAGATGCTCATCCGGACTGGCAAGACGAGCCGAACGGGGCGGACGTTCATGTGGCCAAAGACGGCCCTGAGAGAAGCCATGTTTAAAAACGTGGGACGCCTTCACATGAGAGGTGCCCGAATCGTTACTCCGTTCAAGGTCCCCCCTGGAACTGGACGTGTCCGGGCGACGAGAGAAAACCTCGACGCTGCTCAAAACAAGCGAGACCAGCATGCAAAAGCATAGTGACGTGCCGCTTCCAATTTTTAAATATTAACCTACCTCTACAGGCCCCTAATGCTGATCTCTCGTTTTCCTGGGGGCACGCGAACGTTCGCAATTAATAAAGGCGGCGCTGGCTAAGAAAGGCGGAAGGCACAAAGAAAAGGGCCCTGCCATTGCGATTTTTACTGCCAGATGAAGCAGTTTCTTTTTTTTAAACCATGCAATTTGCTCTTCAAGCCACTAACCAGCTATCACCATGACTACGGGGAAAAAAAAAAAAAGAAAAAAAAAACCCAAAGGAGTAACTGCCCAGTAACTGTTAGCGTGGCGCACGGCCAAACGGTGCCCTCGATCTGCGCTCTGGAGGAGACACAGATCAGCGGTTATCGGGAAACACCCGCTATAAGAAAGGGGGCTCGGCTGGGAGGCGCCGCTCACGGGGAGTCACCCCCTTGCAGCTGCCGTGTGCCCTCTCTCGCACGCGGGGCCTGGGAGCCAAGCGGTGACGAGACACACGTGCGCCCCATCTTCGCCGAGGCCACTTCCTTCCTCCTCCGCACCCACGCACTCGTTCTTCTGCACGACACGAATCAGATGCTCGCCGATGCTCCCCCGGGGACCAAAAGCTCCCCCAAGGAGCTACTGTGAGGCTTCCTGTAAGGTGTGGCGACATTCTGATATCACATGCAAAGAAGATGGAGGCAAATGGCACCATCATAGAGGGGCACGTGGGTTAGAAATACTGCAAAATGTTTTGCTGACGGGTTCGGGCTTCCATGAACTGGCTTGTCATACCATTGCCATTTTTTCTCACCTACCTTCACCCCCCCCCCAGGGCAGTGAGAGAAGCTCACAGGGAAGTTTGGGTAATGCAAGGAAGTTTCGTAACTGAGCTATGGTGACGGCACATGGGAGCGTGAGGAGCTGGCAGAACGAGTCTGGCTTCGTCCAGGGGAGTGGCAGAGCGCGGGATCGAGCCACGGCGACAAGCACGGACATGCCAGGGCGGGGGAGGGACAAAGCCTCTGCACACATAGGCCAGGGGACAGAAACCCTTAATGTCCCAATGGTGTGGGGGCGGCTGGGGGGGGGCGCTGATCATCCCCAAACATCTCAGTCTCTTTGCGAAGAGACTTTCAGAGACCTGCAGCGTGGGCCCATGTGACCAAAATCCAGCATTTTCTCAAACCTCGCACCTACAGAGAAGAACACAGAGTTCTCCAGAGACGGGTTCAGAAGCGGCCCGGTTCAGGCAGAAACCTGAGCCGCCTCCGAAACCTTGCGGCGTAACCTGAGCAGCGCTGCAGCTCCAACTCCGCGGAGGCGCATGTGCTGTTTTTCTTGTTTTGTTAGCAGAAGATTAACAGAAAGACACATTCCCTCCTATCTCTGCATTCGTGCCTTTCTTGCAGACTCACACGCAGAATTCTTGTGTGTATCATTCGCTGTGGCGCTAGCGTGCAAGTCGGACCACCGGGGGCATGTAAACAACTGCCTTGGTACGTGCTCGGACAGACACACCGGCATTAAAATGGACAAACGCAGAACCATGGGGATGGAGAACCTTCACGCACAACACCAGCATTTCACTCCTATTCCTTCTGACATTACCACCGCCATTCAGAACACGGGGATCTTAACTGAAGCCAGCTGAATCAGCATTTAGCCATAAATCATACTTGTTTTTTTTGTTTTTTTTTAAATCCCATAAATACCACCGGCAGCCCAAAAAAAAGCTAAGTTGCTAGCAGGTCAATAAATGTGTGGCGTGCGTGGCTTATTGAGTTTGGACACAGTGCCTCTAACCGGAAGGTTGTTGGACTGAATCCCAGGAGCAATAGGATGATCTTGTCATTGGGCCCCTTGAGCAAGGCCCTTAGCCGCCAGTCTTCCAAGAATTGTCTCAGGGACGAAAACTGTTTCCAATCGTTCGAGAAAAGAAAAAAAAAAAAAAGCACATCGCTTTGGCTATAGGTGTTCGCTAAATAAATAAAATGTATACGTTAAATTACTGCAACACACTGCAGCCAAATTATTCCCAAGGCAAGGTAGGGCCACCCACACACACAAAAAAAATTCAGACAGTCCGGCCGAATCGCAAAAACATCTGGCTGGCATCTGATGAAAGTTAGAGGAAGATACTGGGCTTGTAATCGGACCGGGTGCATATCTGCAGGGACCTCTTCTCCTCACTGCCTCTCCAGGTGAGGACGGCTTGCTGCCATTTCGCCGTGAGATTACTGCATTACGCACCAAGGGATGGGTATGACACACAAGCACGGGTTCCAGAGCGAGGCCTTCTCACCTCACCTCCCAGCTCAGCAGCCCCACGGGAGTGTGGAAAGCTCTCTCCCAGAATGCCGAGGGTGAACTTTTTGTGACGCAGAGTACATCTGGGCTTCAGAACCTCCGTAAATGTTCTTCATGGCAAATCTGCAGGATTCCTACCTGTGATTTTTTATTTTATTTTTTTAGACGATAGAAGAGCTTCATCACATGACCTACGGACCATGATGCCTTTGGGTTTCCCTGATGTCAGCCGCCCAGGTTAACAGTGCCGAATAAAATGGGGAAACACCCGAGTCCCCAGTAGCTCTTTGCTAGCATACTTTAGCGTCAGAGTAAACCAGGGTTTCTCAACCCAGGCCTTGGGGACCACCAGACAGTCCATGTTTTCACTCCCTCTCAGCTCGCAGCCAATCAAGATCTCCAAATACCTGGTGTAGGTGTTTAGGAAGCTGGGAGGAATCAAAACTGTGGACTGTCTGGGAGTCCCTGTGTACTGGGAAGAGAAACAAAGTGTACTGATTTAAACTGGTGCTTTATCATCACTTTGGCTTCAGACCTCTGCTTGCCGGGGGGGGGGGGGGGGACACGGCTGTGACCAGACACTCCCAGAGCAGTTAAATGGGAGGCAGCAGTGAATTTCAAGCAAAAAAATATATATAAAAAAATAAATCACCAGTTCAACTAATCACACTGATTTTGAAACACACCACAAATCATTATCCATCCTGATTCATCTCCATAGGTAAACTGGATATTTTTCTAAAAATGGGACATTTTAATAATACTCCGGAGAGAAGAGAAATACAGACATCATAATATAATAATACACTCGAGTATCTAAAATAAAACTACAGATTCCAATTGCAGGTCCCTGCCAGAGAACGAAGGCCAGTTTTTTTGGTATCCGACATTCACCCATTCAGGAACATAGACTAATGCACATTAATGACTTCAAGCTACCCGCTGGTCTTTCGTTAGACATTTTCACAGAAATGGGCAGCGCTAGTAATACAGGGAGTCACAGTTAACACGTAGCAATCTGGGTTCAGCTCTGAGGATCACCACATGGAGAGATAAGACGATCGGCTGGAGGGAGAGGAAGAACTGACACCTGAGAGAAAAGCTGTGAACAGACAGGCCAGAAAGGGGGAGGGGAATCAAGCGAGAGCCAGGGAGAGAATGCCACCTTCCCTGACACGTGACACTCGAAATCGCAACTGGAGAGGCAGTAGATGGCAGGCAATGGAGACACAGCGAGAATGTAGAACGCAAAGATGATGCAGGGAAGCTGCATTCAGAATGCAGAGGTGACCAGCAGGAACCAGGAACCGGGAAACAGACTGGACAGTTGGATGTAGGGAGGGAGGAGGAATTGGGGCAGAGATGGAGGGAGAAAGGGTGCAGCGTTGAGCCCATGGGGACCAATTTGGTTATACGGCGGAGGGAGTGCGAGACCCAAAGAGCCTCGATCTCTCAGACTGCGAAGTCGATCATCGTCCGCATGGCCCGGAAAGCATGCGCGTCTCTTATGCAACGCTGGCATGGACGATGTCGCTCTCAGAATACAAGCCAGGTGCAGATGATGGAGCCAAGCAAACAGCCATAGGGATCACAGAACCAGGGTACACGGAAAAAAAAAAACAAAAACAATGTCAAAGGATAGCCTTAAACATGCACGTGGCCGCTCAGTGACTGCAGACAAGAGGGCCTGACCCATCTCCAGCCCATCTCAGCTGTCGACGCGCATCCCCCGTGCTCTGAATCCCCTTGGGCCGCCCGGACTCGACACAGGTAGCAATGAACACCTGGGGCCAAGTTAAACCTATTTAGCGGATAATTTTACCATTAAGGATGCAGACTTGAAACCCAAAGGAAGCTGGACAGGTCCTGCTGTGATATCTTAGGTCTGGGACCTTCAGCAGAAATGCTCCAGTAACGCATCCCCCAACTCTGACGTAAGCTGTGAAGCAGTAAAGGTCTCCACATGGATCAGGCCACTGCAAATGCTTTGCAGGTTCCTGGGAAGGTTCTTTGGGCTCCTAGCCGTCTCGAAAAGTGTCCACCAGCCACACGCAGCAGCGCAGCGGCTACACTGAATGAAGCAACAAACGCACTCACACTGGTTTGCAACGTCAACGACACACTGGGACGAGAAGAACGCACAATGCAACATCGGTGTTCGAAGCAGCGAGAGGTTCAGCTGAGTTTCAGCCATTAACATCTTGCTCCGGCTGAGGATTCGGTGGCCTGGATCTAGCTACACACTACAGGTAACCACAGCCGAACAGACAGCGACAGGGTCCGCATGGAACGGACCCAACCGCAAGTCAGACGACAAACGCGGTTATGAACCAGCAGCATCTGCTGGGCCATCGCCAGCCCTGGCAACAGCTCTGGCTCACCATCTTGAGGGTAGGAAGCCGCAGGTTTCATGGCCCATATCACCTTTAAAGCTCCAGCAAACTCCGCTGCTGAGGAAAACCAGCCTGGCCTAATTCTGCGTTCCAGTTTGTGCCAAAGATGGTCCAGCGGGGCGTTGATCCCGTCTCAGGGACAAACTGTTTCCAAGTTTTTTGGGGACTGCGCTTAGTGACACTACAAGTCTGGATGCCCTCCGCAACTCTTAATGGCTACTCGGTATCCAGACGGCCTGACATCGTCATCTCCGTGCCAGTTAAAGGTCACCAGATCGGGGTGGAGAGTGGTTTGCGGCTCAGTGGGTTTGACCTCCGTGCCTGTCATCAGGAGGTCGCTGGTTTGAATCCTATGCTCACCAAAGTAACCACATCTGTTAGGCCCTTGATGAAGCCCTTTAACAACCCCCCCCCCCCCAAAAAAAAGCTCCAAGGATGCTGCATGGACAGCTAACCCTGTGCTCAGACACTATGTATGATTTCTCTCTCTTTTTTTTTTTTTTAAAGATGGGACATGTGAAAACACATTCCAACATACCCCTTCTCAAACAACAGGCAGTTTCATTTCCCCTGTCAACTGCAGGTCAGGCATCAACAATTATTAACCAGACTTCTCACACCCCCTAACTCCTGCCTCATTCACTCAATGTGCAACATTTCACATTAAATCAAGAGCTTACACATCACCAGCCTACAGTGAAATCCAACAGCAGGGACATTCAGCTTCGTTCGGCTACATGCAAACAGTATAAGGAACGCGTTTTACATTTATTACGGCGAGTAATCTGAACCTCCAGCTGCCAGATGTGTTCCATTCCCCACTCACCAGAGAGTGCAGAATGATGCCAGGCTGCTGTCTCCCTGAAGCTCACATTATGACCCAACTTCTTAAACCCCAAGATCCCGATTTCCGCTATAAGGCTCTGTGCAAGTGTAACATGCAATCCGGGCTGTGACAGGACCCAAAGCACCAGAAGCCATAAACATAGCGGGCAGGGACAGAAGGGCGGCAGGTGGGGGACAGGGTGATAAAAGGGGTGCGGTTAGGCTTGCGGCTTGAGTACTGGGGTATAAATATCGCAAGGGGCTATTCATAGGCCACACACTGAGACAGCCAGGATTCAGACAACATCTAAACTACCCCAGCCCTCACTTCTATTCTCGATCCGCTCCACCCCTCCCCCCCAAGGGGGCACTGGGTAAGGTGGCAGTTAAGAACGTAGGCTTGCAACCAGTAGGTTGCCAATTCTAGTACCAGGGGCAGGCCTGTCGAGTCTCACAGCTGGATACTGAACCGGTTGCTTAATCAGCTATTTTTGAAAAATAAATCACTAGTAAATCCCACAGATGACCTAATACGCAAGACCATTTCAAAAACATTCACACCCACGGGATAAAAATGTGAAGTTTGAAAAGAAGCGTTCTGTTTGTTTATTTGTTAGGCAGAGGCTGTACAAGCAGACATGTCAACCTCCACAGAACTTCCCCTCTCATTCAGAGGGCTTCTTCCATCACAAGATGTGCATGTTATCTCTCACAAACGATCAAAACAAAAGCGGCGACAGCAACGAGTTCAAACGCCGAGCCGAGGACGTGAACTCCTCGTTTGAACACACGGGGAAACGATCAAGGTCCAGCAGCTTCAGAAAGCTCTTTACTGACAACAATCTTGTCATTTGAGTTTTCTAGCTGCTTTTTGTGGGGGGGGGGGGGAGGATAATTATACAAAACAAAACATTTTCAAACGGGGTCTACAGTAAAAAGTCTGTCAGAGAGCCTAGAGGGAACCATCACCGCAAATTGAACATGACTTTGTTGCTTTCTCACATTTGTTTATTCCCCTGTACTAAAAATATTATATATAGAAAATGTGGACAAGGTGACAAACGGACTGATTTGTCGTCTGATAGGCAGACACACACACTAACGGTGACCAATACCAACATCGAGTAATTCACGCAACAACAAAGACAAAGTAACCTGGAAACGAAACAGGCAGGCGGCCACCCTCCCCCATACACGCACATGCACATACATCAATCGCAGCACAATGACGGACAGGCACTCCCCTCCGGAGAGATTCCCACGCCCAGTGAGACTGGACGTGCCGGTTTTCAGACAGCAGAACGGGCGTTGAACGTTCCTCTCTTCCCAGAGTGTCCGAAAGCCACGAACGACCCTAAACTCTTTAATTTATCGAAACATCAGCTGGACGCCATGCAGGGGAGCCCAACCCACCATTTCCATTTCATCTCAAAACCATAATGAGCTACTTCCTGAAACAATCCAGTTTAAATCTGTAAGATTATTATTATATTATCGCAGATGCTTTAGCGGCATTTCCCCCCCCCCAAAATTAACTCCCGATCCTACACACGACCACGCCACAAAGCATCACGATTTACTCAAGCGTGCCGTCGAAAACAGACGTAGCAGCCGAACGTACTCTGTACGGGAATCCCATTTCCCTGGATGGCGTTTCCCCCACCTGCCGTCGTGGCATCCGGGGCGCCGACGTAGACATTGGAGATTCCCCCCGATAAGTCCAGGCCCGGAGCGCGCGTCGAGGGAGCGCCGAAGCGAGACGGGCCAAGGCGACGAGCTGATCCACGGCGGCTCGCGAGAGAGGAGAGAGGAACCGAGAAAAGGGAGAGCACTTCCACCTAGAGTGAGGCACACAGACACCCAAGGAAAAGGCTCACGCCCACAACGTCAGCGCCAAACCAACCGCTTCGGGTTCCCGCACGGAGCAGATCGTTGACAGCTTTTTTACCTCAAGCATCTTGTCACAAGTTGAGGGCAAAACAATGACGACTGCGGCTCCGGTTCCCGCAGGCCAATCGAACCTTCCCGGCCGCCTCTTAAGAAAGCCGGAGCCACGGCTAGATCTACAGGGCAGAGCCGGGGCCGGATGCCTCACAGATTACGGAGGCTGGGCTGGGAAGGCCGGCCCTCAGGGGCCGAGGCATCCCTTTTGTCACGGGCCCCTGACGCAAGCCAGGACACGCATGTCATGAAACGTGATGTACAGACAAAGCTGTAAACCATGAGAGAACACGCACGCCAAAGAGACCTTCATCCTGATCGCTTACACTGGTGCCCACCGGCAAAAAGCAGGCAAAAGCAACAGGGAGCGATTATGAACTTCAAGTGAATGCATTCGCCTCAAATTTCCAGATACGCATGGGATTACAGACATTAAAAAGGGATAATATTATTTCCATCCATCCATTTTCTATACCCGCCTGTCCTAAGCAGGGTCGCGGGGGGTCCGGAGCCTAACCCAGGAGCTACGGGTACAATTTCATTTGACATTAATTTGGTAGATGCTTTGATCCAAAGCGATGTACTTTTTTGTGAAAGCATTCAACCCCTGCAGCAATTGGGGGGTGGGGGAAGGACTCACTCAGGGGCCCAGTAGTGAAATTACTCTGCCGACCCTGGGTTTCGAACCGGTGACCTTCCCACTGAGTCCCATACAGCACCCCCATATTAAAAAGCAAAGCTGTCTATTGAATAGACAGTATAGCAGAATGCGTTACTGTTACTGAAATGTGCCTCAAACTTACCAAAATTACTTCCCTAAGGGTGTTTGTACCTCAAACTCCACAAATAGGGAGAACGACAGCATTAAGTCACAACCAAAATAAAACCAGTAACCATTTGGTTTACCCCAGCTGAGACGGGAGTCTCAAATACAGCAATGGGGGGGGGGGGGGGGGGGGGGGGGGGGGGGGGGGGGGGGGGGGGGGGTGTTGGGATGCCACCAAGCAAATATATTATGGAATGAACGGCTTATCCCAGTCACCTCCAGTCCGGCTTATCCCAGTCACCTCCAGTCCGGCTTATCCCAGTCCACCTCCAGTGGACTCCATCAACAGTGACCCCTTAAGAGCAGATGTACTACACTTCCTGGTCAAACTCTAGGAAGCACTTATGCATAGGGGGTGGGGGGTGTATGATGAGTTAAAGGGGCTTCTTGGTTACACGGTCACCTAGGCGACACGGTATAGCGCTACCAAAAGGGGATGCCTCGAACGGATCCCCCTGATTTAAACACCAGACATTTCTTAATACCAGCAAAAGCCATCTTTACATCAAGTCGCACCGCCCGCGTGTGAAAAACGACCCCCGTGGGTGTCGGCCGCGTCTCTGATTACTCGTAGGCGGCGAGCTAGTGATCCCTTTAACTAGTTAACCTGGGGAGGCGATTACGGCGACAGCAAAAACGCCCGGCGAGCCGGTTCATCGACCCGCGTTACCCGGGGGAGCCGACCTGCAAGTCGGGACGCGTCAAGCGGCCCGGAGAGTCCGGGGGAGGGGGTGACATACGGCAGGCAATGAAAAAGGGAAGCTCGGCCAGCTAGTTAATCACCCAGCTAGTTAACTACACCACAACCGGGCTAAAATGAGCCTTAGTCGACGCAAACGACGGTTTATCTGGACTACCTCTTTATAACATTAAGCACGAGCAGGCGACGGGAAACGCAACCATGACAGGAATTAAATGTGAAATTACATAAAAAATAAAAAAACATCCCAGTTTAACCAGTTAATATCAGAGACCCCGTGGGAGTTTCCGGTAAGCAGTGAAACCGAAAGAAGCCGAGCTCATCCCAGCGCTGGCCGGCTCGGTGCGGCAGCTCTCCTCGGTAACTCCGCGTCGGTAACTCCGAAAAGTTCAATTGCGGTGTGAGACAGACATGTCTGGACGTATTAAACATGTTTTAAATATCACATTTTTACACAGTGCTGGCAGTTTCAAGCGGCCGGCTAGCCGTCCCCCGCTAGGTACCGAAAGCCCCCCCAATGGGTGCGCGCGGCTCTACTTACCTGGGCGGTCGATTTCTCGGCGGCCGGCAGCAATGGCGTCGGCGTTGACATGTCTTATATAAAAACAAAAATAAAAATCAAAAAAAGTAGGGAGGGGGATCGAGGAAGCCGCTCAGGGTCCGAAGCACATCGATCTCCAGCTGTCAGCAGGAAGGGGGTGTAAAAAAAAAACACACACACGCCGCGATCAACAAGTTGGCTCCTCCATCGGCACCCGGCTAGAGAGCAGCTGGCCGGCGGCAAGTCCCTTGGCGGCTTCGCTCTTCAACCACCGGCGGATAAAGTCATATATAAAAAACACGATAGACGGACAGGGAGGCCGTCGGAGAGCTAAATCGCGAAGGATAAAACACCGGTGGAAGCGGTGGGGGGCCTTCCGACGAACGTCATCTGTTACATCGGGGTGGTGTTTTTTTTTTTCTCTTTCCCCCCCCCAAATCCGTCCCGGCTGCGGATGAAGGGAGGAGGGGAGCGGAGGTCCGCCGGCTATGCGGGGGCAGCCGGGCGCGGCGGCGGCGGCTCCGGGGGCGGCGCTCTCACGCTCGGCTGGCGCGTGCCAACTGGGCCCGCGGATCCAGACTTCGGTCCGGGTGGCAGTCGGCTCGCGGAGCTCGGGCGACCTTCGACGGGAGAAAGAAAACAGGGGGGAAAAAACTATTGGATCAGTAAGAATGAGGTCGCGAAAGGAAGAAAAATGCGGGCAAGGGAAAAAATCCGGGTGTGGAGGCAGCGTGTACACCTCGGCATTACCGCAGCCGGCGGAGAAATAATCTGAAAGTCGCCCCAAGTCAGGAAAAAAGGCTGTCGATTATATTGCAGTAATAAAGAAATGGCCGGGGTGTTGCAAGTCGAAGAGGAAGGAGAAAAGAGAAAAAAAAATCAACGTCTTATAAAACCAGCCATGATCTTCCCGGTTGTACGCACAGGTGCTACGTACCTTCCGAGCGCTTCTCGCGGGGGGGTGGTCGGCGGATCTACGGAGGCGGACGGCACTCGGTCGGTGCGGCGCCCGAAAGCCGACGCTGCATCTGCCGCTGAGCCTAAGTACCGGAACAGGCGCCAGGGAACATGGCCGCTGTGCGGACGGTGCCGGAGGGGAGGAGGGTAACGGGGCTGTCCGTCGGAATTCGCCTTCGACAGCAATCGGTTCCAGTCGACCAACATCGATTATGGCATACCAGACGATGTTAGATTATACAGGAAAAAATAGATATATATTCCCACACAATAATACATTTTCAGACTATAATTAAAGTGACATATATAATTTTTACAATCACATCAATACCCCAGTGTATTAAGTTACTAAGTTATTGCGATGCGTTTCAAAGAAAACTTGCACATATCTGGCATAAAAATCAATATCATGGACCTTTCATTCAGAAGTAGCGTGCTACTTAAAGAATATATCATGCTGTATGAGCAACATATCTAGCTATAAGTAACACATATATGTGCATATGGGCCTACAATTTCGAAAATAAGCATGACATCATGTCATTGTACGATATTGAACCATGCAAGACAGCTATGTAAAAACAAATAGGGGTATTGCGCTGAAGTGATGTACAGTGATGAAAAGGTGTGCTTTTTGGTTGCTGGAAGCGGGGGATCCGCAATAGCGCATATAAAATAATTACAGTTCGAGTTTGACTAACACGGACAACATTGCGTCTCTGCTGCCACCAAGTGGACACTGGTTCTTATTACCAATTAGTACATCCCAATGACAAAAATTATGAAGTATTATTATCTTATGCGGTATATTAATTATTTGTTTCCTTTTATCTAAAATACAAAAATGAATCGAGAAAAAGGCGATATATATAGTGTAGCCAAAAATTATTTGTACACTTTTAATGGTCAAAAATGCAAATGAAATTCAGGATATTGAAGAACAAATTTTTTAAATGGTCTAAAATGTTGCAATTATGTGTGAGTTATGTAAAGAGACGAGAAAAACTTTTATTGAAAACATATTCTGGAATTGTTTTCAAATTATGAAATGCATTGCCTTCAAACAATTATTTGTATACCTGTCCACTGGAGTTTTCTCAAAGTCCTGCTCAGTTTTTGGTAGGGCCTCTTTTAACAACATGCAGCCCCCTGGGCATACTTTCAACAAGGGTGTTGCAAATGGCTGGGTCAAAGCTCTCCCCTGTGCAGTGGAGCATGTCTTTAAAATTTTGATTGTTGTTTGGTGGGTCTCTTGGGCATTTCCTCGCCATCTCAGCCCAGAGGTGCTGAATAGGATTGAGATTTGCACTTTGCGGGGGCCACTCAAGCACTTTCACCGCCTTCAGTATGCTTGGGGTTGTTATCTTGGCAACATTCAAGCAGTTTGGCAACAGATGGGATAATATGGGTAGACAGGATCTCCTCATACACCTCAGAATTCACGATGCCTTCAATAAAATGCAAACTTCTGACACTGGAAGCTCCCATGCAATCTCAAACCAACACGCTCCCACTACCATATTTGATGGTTGGATTTAAGCACTGGGGGCTGTACTCCTCCTTTGAGTTGCACCATGCTCTCTGATGACCATCTGATCCAAACATGTTGAATTTGGATTCATCAGACCATACGATTAATTTCCAGAAGCTGGTAGGCTTCTCATGTTCTTTGGCAAATTTCCAATGTTTCAGTTTGTTCTTTTTACTTAAAAATTCTTTCTTACAAGGAATGTTGCCATACAATCCACGTTTGTTCAGCCTGCTCTTTATTGCTTGTGTGCAATAAACACTTGACTTGCTTTGCAATTTGTGCAGCAAACAACTTTCGGTTTTTCATGGCGAGCTCATTGATGTACCTTTCTTTTTCTCAATTTTTTCCTCCAGAATAATGGTTTCACCGATCTTCTTGAATTTCTGAATGATGTAGTGCACGGAAGTATGCCTCATGTCACGGGCTCTGGAATTTCGATCAGGTGGGTGGGGCATGGGGCAGACGGGGAAAGGAGGTGGACGATCCACTTGTAGCTCACAGGATGAATGGCACACAGAACCTGAAAACACGGGGAATGTCACAAAACAATGGAACACGAGGGGTCAAAAAGCAAATAGGGAAAAACAAAGACTAACTACAAAGGGTCAGGGCAACAAGGAGCAGGCAGACAGGCGGGCAGGCGAAGTAGAAATAACAAAGACTCTGAATACAACTCCAAATACACCTTCTGAAAAGAACATGAAATATATTACTAACACATCATCAGAAACATCAAAAATGACTCCAGGAGGAACAGAACAGGATCAGGAACTTAAATACAAAAAGCTAACAAGCGTAATGCAGGACAGGTGAAAACAATTAACAAGGGCTGGTAACAGGCAACAAGTGAGACTAATAAAACTAAAATCATGAAACTCAATCTAGGAAACATAATCTAACATTAGGGGAATAACAGACAAGGAACACACAACCACGGGCACAAAGCCAAAAACCAAAACTGAATACAAATCACAAAACGCAGAAACTAGAAAACCGATACAAATGAAACACTAGGGAACAAAATTAAAGCACAAAAACAGAGGAGGCAGGATTTGAACACACGACTGAGGGGATTACAGGTAGCTGCATACTCAGCTCATTGAGTTATGCAGCTGCCTGCAGAGCAAGGGAAACACTAAAGACTGACAACAGGGGGGACAGGATGGCCAGCGACACCTGCTGGCCAAACAGGGAGAAGACATGAAAGACTCGGACAGACGGGTGCAGACCCTGACAGCCTCACACCAAGTCCAGTGGCAATTTTTTGAACCGAAAGACCATGACTGTGAAATTTTATGATTCTTTCCCTCAATGCATTGGGTATTTCAGCAGTTTTACCCATGTTGGAAAACTCAACTAACCCTACAAATGATTGTGTGGAGAATGACCACCAAGACTATTTGTAAAAACTAAGGGCACCCAATTAACTGCCTATTTGGGACACCTGCTGTTGTGTGTTGTGTTAAATGATCTCTATCATGACTGGGAACTCCTCCTATTGTCATCTATTCGTCCAACTCTATGAATGGCCAGGTATGCAAATAATTATTTGAAGGCAATAAATTACATAATTTGAATATGATTCCAGAATATGTTTTGCATAAAAGCTTTCCTTGTTTCTTTACACAGCACACACATAATTGTAACATTTTAGACAGTTTTTAAAGTTTGTTCTTCAATATCCTCAATTTCATTTCCATTTTTGACCATTTTTTCGCAGTATACAAATAATCTTTGGCTACACTGTATATATAAATCAATTTATGAAATAGTGATAAAAATAATTCTATCTATTGTTTTTCTGCTTATGTGTTTTGCTAATTCTGTATAATTTGATTAATGTACTTTGTGCTGAAGTACTTTATTAAAAGTTAAACATTCTTCCTTGTAAGTTATTCACTGGGAAATGTTTGGATCGAGACATGTTAGAAACAGCTAAAATTCCCTTTTCTGACCCAAAACCTATAAGGAAAGTACTAAACCTAAAATTACATGGTGTAGCTGGTGACATGACAGGGCTGGTCTGTCAACATAGAGGGTGTAAAAACCCCACTAGGGTGTAGTTCGTTTTATCTTTGTACGTGGTTGTTTTTATGTGGCTGTCGTCATACATGATATGGGAAACAGTATTTTGTTCACAGCTAAAACAAAAAGAAAAGCATTGATTTGATGCTGGGGGAACCGTGAGGACTGAAAAAACGCATTAGTGCAATCAAAGGGCTTTTCCGCGTGCAGCCTGCACAGAAGTCGATGCCTTTTCCCGTTCAATTTATAGTCAAAGAAACAGAAGTAATCGTTTGACAACAATTGGGCAGCTGGTTGCTATTGTAAAAACGGAGGCAGTTGAATAGAACCGATATGATGGCTAAATAATTAATGCGGAAAACAGTGTAAAGAAAGAAATTGGGATATATAGTACAATAATCTGTTATTTAATAGAAACTATGTGAAAGCAAAATAACCCACCAACTTCAGGATCCAAAAATCTATGTATAAGGGTATCTGGTGAAGGAGTATAATTATGGACTTTTTTGTGAGTTATTGTGAAGTAGGACAATCGTTATAGAGCGTGACTTTGGTAATTCCCAATAACCCCAAGGGAGTCGTGACAAAGATCAGAAAAGTGGGGAAATCCCTACTTTGACTTTCCCAGGATTTCCCGCCACATTCGCTTCATAGTTTTATTGCCTTCAGAGATGAAAGGGCGGTTAGCGCCACCTGCAGTGTTCAAAATATGGAAGGGCCAAGCAGAGACAATTGTAGCCTCGACATCCCGTGTAGGCCTACAGAAAATAGCCATGAAAGACGTAATCTGTACATTTTAAGGGGAAACGTGTGAGATAAATACACGTATAAGTGGGAGAAATACAAAATATGTGTTTTCTGCATGTTTGCTAAAGTTACTTTTACGTAATCATGTTATTGTGCCACGTTCGTATCTAAGCTTTTTTGTTCCTAAAACAATTCGTTATACCATAAATAACCGTAAACATAACGCAAAAGAGTAACATTGACGGTAGTATATTTCTGTATAAGTCTGACTAGATAACAAAACACCTGGAGCCCACAAGAAAGGTCAATGTTCAGTCAATCAGT